GAGAGAGAGAGAGAGAGAGAGAGAGAGAGAGCAAAACAACAAGTACGCACTGGAAGATTATATTCTCTTCTATCCGGTGATAGATTTCACTGATTTGAATAGTAGGTGAGGTTGAATATGAAACTTATCAACAAAGTTGATGAAATTGAACGCAAAGGAGTATCTTTTAAGATCTAAGATTAATGTTTAGAATTCATTTTGGAAAAGTACACAATGTGTGTCATCCTGACTTTCCCGATAGGGATTTTAAGTAATTGTTCACAACATGCAGAGGAGAGTCGATAATATTGCATGTTAGCTTATTGTTATAGTTTTCCAAGATATTTAGCGACAGACTGACTGAAACCTCAGCAATAATATTAGTAAGGGAGACAGCGCTAGCTCTCGAAGAGAGAATTCTAACAAAAACATTCAGATTTAGGATATAAATTTATCAGACATGATTGTGTTACAGTCAACAGAATGAAATGGCCAAAGCCCATCCCAACCCTATGCGCATTCCGGTTTGTGCTAACAGCCCCTAGTCTATGCAAACCAGCTGCCACCGCACTCACAGATCGCCGAAGGAATTATTATTGATGGAGATGGACCACACAGAAAAGGGAAAGGGTAGATAATAATAAGCAGATGCCTGACTTGCACAAAGGTTTGTTCAAAGAGAGAAAGAGCGACGCAAACATCAGATTCACTCTCTCGCCCAGGTACACTGTATCTGATGGCAAGAAAAAGACACGACACTCAGATCAGTATTTAGGTGCAGGATAAGGTCAGGATACCATCCATGTATAGTATTCTATGATACATTTATTATACATATATTATGTTATGTATATTATTATATCAGCCTCTCGAACTCGAAATCTTCACTCTCCATTACATCATTTCGCGTGCGAAAAATAATATATAATATGATCCTGACCGTGTGACTATAGGCTACAAACCTTGTCATTCGACAGCTTCGCACGGTTTGACTTGCAACTTTGAAAAAGAAACACGTTTGATTTTGAATACTACAGTCGACTTTAGTCGAAATTAGGCGAATTGTATCAAAATGATAGCTTTTCCCCACTATGAAGGGAAATCCGATTGGCCTCGACTGAATCAAATGAATTCGATGGCCAGTGTGCACTAGGTATAATTTTCTTAAGGAAAATGTTATGTTTAACCTTGAACTTGTGTAAAAATTGGCCGATTGGGCGATTTATTGTAGACCTGATCGAGAAATCAACAGCCGCCTAATAATTTTTGTGTGTTCTGAGTCAGAATTGGGAGACCGCCCCTTAAATAACCTAATAGTGTTGATAGGGGTGTTAAACCCATACCATTTCACCATTTTTTGGGAGAGGCGAGCTTGGACGAAGAATCCCTTTGAAATGTGCCTCCGAGCGAGATTAAACTTTGGTTCAAAATATTAAAGATAATTATTGTAGCCAAAACCTGATTTCATTTTTGACACCAGCGTATCTTTACTTTTATTTTTTACTTTTTCTTCCCTTGTTGCCGTTAAGCGTCGAGGGGAGATGCAGTTTTCTATGATAGGCCAGCTCCGCAGCTCTTTCAGTTGTGATGTTATGTTTTCTTAGGGTTTCCTTGACACCTTCGATCCACCTTTTGCGTGGCCTTCCTCTTCCTTTATAGCCTACGTGCTTGGTGTTGTAGGCTCTCAAGACTGGCTGGTCAGGTGACATGCATAACAGATGGCCAAACCATTTTATCTTCTGTCTTTCTATGTAACGCAGGCAGTAGTGCCAATAGCTGCTCTTACTTCTTCATTTCTCTGCCTGTCTCG